AAATAAATCTTTAAAAAAAAAAAAAAAGAAAAACGGTGGCTAAATGCAGAAGAACGAGAGCTGTTGTGGGGAAGTCAATGACATATTTTAAGAGAGCGCCTTCCTTCCTCCCTTGGGAGCAGGGATGGCCTGGAAGACCCTCTGGAGGATACCGGCCTGGTGCAGCAGCAGCTGGACCAGCTGTCTACCATCGGGCGTTGTGAGTACGAGAAGACATGCGCACTCCTCGTGCAGTTGTTTGACCAGTCTGCCCAGTCCTATCAGGAGCTGCTGCAGAGTGCCAGCGCCAGCCCGATGGATATCGCGGTGCAGGAAGGTGAGTGGACAGTGCTGAGGCCTGAAAGGTGGGGCTGTCCGCACCCCTTCACTCACTGCCACCTCTCTTTCCTACCTGCCCTCCAAAAGGACTCTTCCATCATCCATCGCCTCCATCTACACAAAAGAATATTATGAATAAATGCCACAGGGCTAGGGAAGAGTAACTGAAATCGTGTCTACATGGATGTGTTTAACTTCAAGAAAGTACTGGACTCTAAAAATAATGATCTTGTCTGATAGGGGACCATTGGTTATCTAATGAATTTCCCCCTCGGCATCACCCTTACCAGAGCAGGGTGATAGCTATACTTGGTAAGAAAAGTTAGACCTCATGGCTTTACCATAGTGTTCTTAAGATGACAGAAGCTCCTAGTAAGAAACGCACCTCACTGTGAGGAAATTTCTTCAATGAAATGACCACTGGAGAGGACACTAATAGGTCTTCTTCCTGTTGCAGGAAGGCTGACGTGGCTGGTTTACATCATCGGCGCAGTGATTGGTGGCCGGGTTTCTTTTGCCAGCACTGATGAGCAAGATGCTATGGATGGCGAGCTCGTCTGTCGGTAGGTGCTCTCACAGAGGCTTTTCATTTCATTGCTTTGACCGCCACCTGTTTGGGTCCCAACATCACAGGAACTTGGCATGCTTCTATGCTTTCCTCCCCGTTTATAGAATATAACCTCATTAAGCTGATTGCCCATGAAAATGAAGGACTGTTACAGGTCCAACTTCAGACATTTTATAAATACAGCAAAAATTCTACCTACAGTCTTTACTGAGAAAACACTTGCAGTAATTCAGCAAGGAAATGATGGATACAGAATTAGGAAAACCAGAGTAGGGAGTAGCTTTTAGTCTTAAGGACAGTATCTCAGAGTTAATGAAATGTAGACTGCTTTTGCCATAGCAGAGTAAGACTAAGAGGAAAATACTGTTCTTCAGATATCCTCAAATATGAAATTAAAGAGTTTCTACAGCCTTTCAAATCTCTTGACATTTCAAATCTCTTGACATTTCAAATCTCTTTTCCACCTAGAGGATTTCAAGTTATTATTTTATATCTATGTAATTCTCATCCATCTTTCTAAAAACCTATAAATGAACATTTAACAATTTCTAAAAATTCACCTAACATAGAAATAAAAAGGCAGGATTTTGGGGGTCCCTGGGTGGCTCAGTTGGGCGTCTGCTTTCAGCTCAGGTCATAATCTTGGGGTTCTGGGATCCAGCCCCACATCAGGCTCCCTGCTCAGTGGGAGTCTGCTTCTCCCTCTCCCTCTGCCCTTCCCCCCGACTTGTGTTCTCTCTCTCTCTCGCAAATGAAATCATTTAAAAACTAAAATAAACAGGTGCGCCTGGGTGCCTCAGTCAGTAAGCGTCTGCCTTCAGCTCAGGTCATGATCCCAGGGTCCTGGGATCGAGCCCCGTATCGGGCTCCCTGCCCGGCGGGAAGCCTCCTTCTCCCTCTCCTACTCCCCCTGCTTGTGTTCCCTCTCTCGCTGTGTTTCTCACTCTCTCTGTCAAATAAATCTTTAAAAAATAAAATAAAAAGGCAGGATTTTTTAATACTCTGCCACAGAGGTTCTCAAACCTTTTCATCAGGACCGTTCACCCTCTTAAAAAGTATTGAGGATCTCAAAGAGTTTCTGTTTATAAGACTAGCTATCAATATTTATTGTATTAAAAAATAAAACTGGGCCTTCTGGCTGGCTCAGCCAGTGGAGCATGCAACTCTTGATCTCGGTGTAGTGAGTTTGAGCCCCATATTGGGTGGAGAGATGACTTAAAAATAAAATCTTTTGTAAAAAAATTTAAAAACTGAGAAAATTTAAATTTATTCCCTTAAAAATAACAATAAGCCCCATTACATGTCAGCATAAGTAATGTTTTTTTAAATATTTTTCAAAAAAATTAATGAGGAAAGTGGCTTTGTTATAATGTCTGGCCCAGAAGTCAGCTGGATTCTCTTACCCGCATCTGCATTCAGTCTGTCATGGTGTCACAGGTCCAGTAGCCCCTGGACAACCCACTGTACCCTCCTGTCAGAATGCAAGTAGAAGGGCAGATCATGTTTCAGGATGGTGTGCGAACAGACTGCAACCTTGGGGAAATGCCACCCTGAAGGGTTCTGAACTTTCAGATGCTCTCCTTAGAGATAAAAACATTTTAACATGATGCCTTAGAATAGATTGGTTCCTAGACATTTCAGTCCATAATTCTTATTCTGAAAATCCCCATTTTTCTCTTATCAGATGCCCATCTGCCCTTAGGTGCCTTAATCCTGACAAAAGTCTCCATGGCATGTCACACTGGCATTTTTTGAAGAGTTGAGCAAAGATTTGATAAGAATGAAAGCTAATAAGCTTTCTGATTTCAGCAGCCTGGTGTGATCCTGTGTGTGTGACATAAATTGAATCTAGAGAATGTCTTGTATCCTGGTTCTCACACTGAGCATTACAACATCATGCCTGAGTCTAATTCACTCATGATACGTCAAAATGATAGTTTACCTGTTCTCACATCATCAGAATAACAAATGACTCACTTGTAATAGCATTTTATTCATTCAGTATTTACACACTTTCATTCCAGTATGCTTTCTTTTGCGGGGGGGAAGGTGCAGGGAAGAGGTAAAGGGATGAAGTCACGGGTAGCATATCTGCTCTTGGTCTCTGGAACTTTTATCTGCCCATGGACATTGCCCTTCATGTGTCCATTCCCTTCATGGCTCTGTGAGAAAGAAGAGTGAGAACCACGGGCTTAGTCCAGTCTCCCTCATTTTATAGATGAGGAACTGGGACTTAGAAAATAAATTGCTTTACTTATGGTCTCACATAAGTTTCAAGGAAGACCATTACCCCAGTGCCAGTGTTTTCTTTTGTTTTGTTTTCCCACTATTTTTAAGTCAATTGCTAGTTCTGCCTTAGTCTATAGTCTTGGTGGACTGAACTTTTAAACATCCAACCATCATTCATACTCATTCTTCAGCTGTGGTTCCTGTGGGGCAGAAATGGAGAATTCTGTTCTCTCAGCAGAGCATTGAGCCTGCAGAGAATGCCTTTCAGATAGGATGGGTAAGGAGAGGAGATACATAGGACTATTTGAGGGTAGGTTGGATTTTCTAGAGTGACCAGGATATCCTGCTGTTGAGAGAATCATTGCTCTTCTTCCTCTAGGGTGCTCCAGCTGATGAACCTAACAGATTCTCGCCTGGCTCAAGCGGGTAATGAGAAGCTAGAATTGGCCATGCTGAGCTTTTTTGAACAGTTTCGTAAGATCTACATTGGGGACCAGGTGCAAAAATCCTCTAAGGTAACAGGATCTCAATTGGCTCCACTTGGTTCTCACTTATGTAATTGCTGACTGAGAAACATCTGATAGCAGTTCAGACACCGATTTTAGTATTAGGATGGTCCAAATGTCTCTTCTTCATCTGTAGAATTTTGAGAGATTCATTAGAAAATTGGGTCCATTTCTGTAATGTTCCACGGGCTTAACAGATGGCCAGTCAGAACATCTGTTGGTTTCAACATTGGCAATTCTCAGTCTCTGTACATGAGTTGATGTTCAGAACAGCAGAACGTTTTGACAGTCTTTGTAATCTCAGGGTTGAAGGGGACTGATAAGATAGCTCAGCATCTTTCCAGTATCAAGTAATACTTAGAAACTAGCTTATTATCCCTTCAACAAAGACCTCCCCTACACTTTTGTCCATTTTCTTCCACATCTTACCCCTGAATAAGGACAAAAACAGTGTTGGGATGTGATTTTTCTAATCCATATTTTCTGATTACTTTCTCTTCCCTTAACACAACACCAGCTGTACCGCCGACTCTCCGAAGTTCTGGGCTTGAATGATGAGACTATGGTCCTAAGTGTCTTCATAGGAAAAATGTAAGTGTTTGGCTTGCCATCAGCAAGAGTCCCTTGCAATCCTGTTGCAACTGTAAAATGTGATCTTGGCATTATGCTGCCAGTGCCTTGGTATTCCAGCATTGATCGTTTGCGTCAGAAAATTGTGCATTTGAGTGTGTGACAAGCTGTGCTTAGAGATATGGCCCGGCCCCAGAGCATTCCAGGCTTGTACAGGCAAGGATTTCATTTGTTCGTGTGGAATCTCATCTCTAGCTTCTGGAATCACCGGTGAAACCCTGTCATGGCATTAGCAAAATGGACATCTCTGCCCCAGTGATTGGTTCTCAGCCTCTCACCCAATCACCCTGCTGCCAAGGATGCCCAGAGTGGGCATTCACTTTCTGGTGCTGATTTCCACTAGGTGTGCCCCCCCTCAAGGAGGAGAGCCCCACTTTAAAACAGGCTTTTCCTCTCAAGAAGCATCCACACCCTTTGAGAGTCTTGAATCTGCAAAATCGAGTGCTATTTGAACTGTCTTCAAAGTTGGAGCTCCTAATTGGCCCTTTTTCGTTTGTTTTGTTTTTGTTTCTGTTTTTTAAGTTATGCCCCTTTGTTCACATTTTCCCCTTTTTAGGAGCTCAGTATCTCAAAGCACACACTAGGAGCCAAATATTTTACCCAGGGCTGTGTGCAAAGTGACATTTTGCCCCCTTCTAGCCATCCCAATCCTAAACACTCATATCCATGAGCTGGTTAATAATTTAAGATGCAAAACACAAAGGGGGTCTAAAGGACTCTGCCAGCCAAGAACCCGGAAGCAAGGGCTACTAGAATTCTGCAGCTGACAGTGGATGGTGCAGGTGCAGAATTGCATACGTCTGCATGTTATCACTGCCGCAGAAATCTCTTACCCTTGCTGCAGAAATCAGCCCTGGAGTGCCCCAGAATTCCAAGGGCCTGGGTATGGGCCAGTGTAGCTTTGGAACCAAGTAGTGAAGATTATCTGAAGGATAATTTTTCTAGTCAACCAAATGTAAGTACGGAGATTTTATACCCATTTTTTGTGGTTGTGATGTCTGTGAATTGGTGATGCAGATGTGTGGTGACTCTTGATGGATGATTTTCTTCTTCTCCCAGCCCTCAAGGAAACCAGGCAAATCAAAAGTGTCTCCTGCTTTTTTTTTTCTTTTTGTCCTCCAGCATCACCAACCTGAAGTACTGGGGCCGCTGTGAACCGATCACCTCCAAGACACTACAGCTTCTCAATGACCTCTCCATTGGATATCCTTTTCTAAGTCAGCTTCTGTGCACAGCAGGAACTGTGGCTTGCCATGGTCTTAGAAATCATGACCTCCTGCTGTTTTCACTGTCATTTAGTTTTATATGTGCTCAAGTATCCTCCGTTCTCCTAGGAGCCAAAGGCAGTACCCACACAGAATCCAGGGATAATTGCAGATTCCAAATATGAGCCATCCCACAAACCATTTCTACAGATTTATCCCTGGTTATCTCTAAGATCCAGAAATGCCCAGCAGATCTGTCCGATCAGTATATACTCTGTAGCCAATATTTTTACATCCTCAGTGATACAGAGTCCATCTTGATTGTTTGTCAGCCTTTTGGTAGAAGCAGCCTGATTACAAGCTCTGCAAGAAAAGTAGTGGCTATACTCCCTCTTGACTTGACTTGGACCAAGTCTGCTATAAAGTTTGAATTGCTCTGAGACAGCCTTCCACAACCAGGGGTCTGCAGGAGACTAAACCCTATAAAAATGAGTGACTTTTTTTCTCAGTTATCCCAGAGATTGTACATAGCTAGTACCATTCTAAATGCATAGGAGAGAACTTAATTCACCACACACAATTGATGCCTCAGGCAGGGAATTAGGGCTTAATTCACTCTTAGAAGCCCCAGTGAGAAAAGCTACCCTAGAATATTCATGATTCTTGGGGGAAACTGCTGGGTTTTATCTCTTCTCTTACAGATATGAGTTTGGTATGGGTATTCTGTCATTGATCAGTTAAATACGGCTTAGTAGAGAACACATCTTTTTTCCATTTGGCAGGTGTCATTTTCAAGTGTCTAAGGAAAATAAGATAATCTGGGTATGGAACTCATAGTCAGGAAAGAAACTGTACTTACTTTATCCTAGAAAGCTGCATTCTGCATTAAAGATTCCTCATTTGTACACACTTTCCTTGACCTTCTTTCTTTGTCTTCACATACAGTAGTGTAAGGAAACTAGTGAAGCTTAGTGCGGTACAGTTCATGCTGAACAATCACACGGTGAGTGAGTTAGCACCTCTTCCTGGTTCTCTCCAGCCAGCCACACACACACTTCCTCAGCCATATAAAGGGGGTGTTTTCATTTGAGGTCCATAGTGCCCCCCAAGCCAGAGACTGCTCCCTGACTCCCTTCACACTGCCAGATCACACTTAACTGGCATCTGAGCTGCTCTTCAGGAGCCAGATGATCTGAGTTGTGATGATGGTGCCTACTGTTATTCATACGAAGATAAATTAGTTGTAGACAACAACAATAATCCAAAAAAAATTTTTTAATCCCCCTCATACTCTTAAGAAGACGATATAGCCATTAGCTTGAAAAGGCTCCATAATTCTGAAATTCCTGGCTTGCCTTCTGCCTGTGACCCATGTCTTTATCTTTTTAACTTGTCTTCTTTTTTTCAATAGAGCGAGCACTTTTCATTTCTGGGTATTAACAATCAGTCCAATCTGACAGACATGCGGTGTCGGACTACCTTCTACACAGCACTTGGGCGTCTCCTCATGGTGGATTTAGGTACTGCAATAAATCCTAGAGGCTCGTGCAGTAGTCTGGCACTGTGCTAAATTCTTACTTGAGCATAGAAAACTGGATGTTGGGGAGGTCTTTCTGTTGTTTCAATAGTAAGAGAACTGTCTGAAATAACAGTCTGATTTCACCAAGAACACACCATGCTATCACGGTCCCTGTAACTGGAAGAGAAGAACAGTATGTGCCAGAAGTTTCATCTGATGTGCAGTGGTTTTAAAACCTATTCATATTTCTCCTCTGAAAGTTAAGAGAATTGAGAGTCCTAAATGCATCTTGTTGGCCAGATAACCCCTCCACCCCAAATGAAGGCGCAACCCACCTAAGACCATCAACAGAACCTTCCATGCCCCAGTTCACTAGCACATGTGAACCCGCAGGGCTGAAGAACCTTTCTAGCTCTGTTGTGATATTAGCAGTTTTGGGTCAACTAATGACTGAAACTCAATGCTGTCATCCTCATTTTGAGCTGTTTATGTTTAATCCTACTACATAACATTAAAAACCTAGCTTTATGGAAGATTAGTGAAAAGAGAAGTGTGAAGAGAGCCTCCACAAGCACCTGATTCAAGTATGAGTCTCATCAGGTTCTCATACACCAGACTCAGTCCTTTCTCAGCTGACTGTTAGCTCTCACTTAAGTAAATAAAAACATAGTATCTTGTACACATACAAACCTCTGGTATTGTGGCTCGGTGTCAGAAAAAAAATGTGGACGTCCCTGGACTGGATGATTTCTGCCTCTTCTAGTTTAAAAATGATCTATTTACATTTCATTCTGAAATTACTACTAATACCTGTGGGGATTAAAGGGGCCCACTTGAATTATCCTTGGGTCTGCTCACCTTTCAAACCATCTTATTTTCCTTGCATACACAGCTTTGAGTTTTTTATATTGGAGTCACAGCCTGGGTTGTTTCCCTTACAGGAGAGGATGAAGATCAGTACGAGCAGTTCATGCTGCCGCTCACAGCAGCGTTTGAGGCTGTGGCCCAGATGTTTAGCACTAACAGTTTCAATGAGCAAGAGGCAAAGGTGAGTCCTTCACCCACTGGCCAGCTTCTGCTTTCTGGCAACCCGACAGAGACTAGATTAGCTAGCGCTGCAGAAAATAGTGCTCATCCATACATTTTCCACTGATTTCACTTTTTAGGTAATCTCTTGGACTCCTGGGATTTTGAAATAGAAGAACCAGTAGAGACATACAAAGTCTTATTTTTATGCCGAAGTGTGTTCTTAAGCAGCACTTAGGAGGTTTTTGTCTACATTTTCAAATGTGGTAGCATAAAGTTGTATATTTTTCTATTACCTTTTTAATCTGTGTTGTATCTTCAGTTATGTTCCCCTTTCATTTTTAATACTGCTTATTAGTGTTTTCTCTCTTTTGACCTAGATCAGTCCTGCCAGAGATGTGTTTATTAGTCTTGGCAAAAATAAGTTGGTTTTTTTTTGGCTTTATTTAAACTCTGTTTTCTGTGTTTTCTATTCTATTTCTACTCTTTATTTTCATATATTTTCCTTGGGGTTTCTCCGTTGTTCTGACTTCTTTTCAGCCCTCCTTCTTTCCTGATGTAATCATTTAAAACTATAAATGTCCCTCTAGGTATATTATTCCACACATTGGTTTTGGGTGTTTTTTGTTTTTGTTTTTTTAATTGTAAAAAAAAAAAAAACGTAACATAAAATTTACCAGCTTGACCATTTTTAGGTGTACAGTTGAATAGCATTAAGTATACTAACATTGTTAATGCTCTAAGTCTTCAGGGTCTATAGTTTTTATATGTAACGTTTTCATTATCATTCAGTTTTTTGTATTATCTGATTTCCATTAAGATTCCTTCTTTGACAGGAGTCATTTAGAAGGCTTTGTGAATTTCCATATATATGGAATTTTAAAGTTACTTTTAGTTATTGATTTCTGGCTCTCAGAATTATCATTTCTTGATTTTTGCTCTCTTCATCTTCACACACACCTGCTTTCCTTATCTGTAGGTCTCTGCACCAAAACCAGAAGACACTAGGCTATTAATATTTGTAGAACTTTATTGCAGTGTTCATAATGACACTGAGGCTGAATTACAATCACCAGATACCAGGAGTATTGCCCCCAAAATGCCAGGCTTTACCTAATATTCTAAAATTCTGTTTTCATCATTAGAAAGCCTCTTAGTTTTCTGTCTCCAAGTCATCAGGGAAGTCAGAGAGCAACACTACTTTGTCCAGCTCTCTCTCTTCTCTTTATACCAGTGTCTTGAGTTAGATACCATTCAAAGCTGAGGTTAGTGTGGAGCATGGCAGTAACTTGAGCTAGAGTACCAGCCAATACCAAGGTTAACTGAGGGATATCAGTGAATAGCCGCCCTTTTCATCACTTTAGTTCCATACAAAGCAAGTAAAATTAATGAAAAGAACCATTTTGGCCATGAACTACAAGCATGATCCATGTCTTTGTTACACTTCATGTAATAAGTCTTTTAGAGTGACCATGTCTTAGACTTGGAAACAGCTTATGTATCAGTTTAGGAACAGAACTTTGCTTAAAGCAGGCTGTTATGTTAGCAGAAGCGCAATCATTTTTGACAAGTGAATCAGGACACCCAAATGTGCCATGTCCTTGAGCCTGTTGATGACTGTTAGCTTTTCAAAGCAGTCTTATTGCTTTTCAAGGCCCGTAAGACAAGTAAAAGTTCTACTGAGGAAAAACAGTGGATTTGGAGTCTTGATGGTATGAGTCTTAACCCTGGCCCTCTTGCCACTTAGCAGCGTGACTCTGGGCATGGTATCTGACCTCTCAGGCTGCGATCTCTTCTATAAAAGCGTAACTTCACAGCTCCAAGACTTGACCCATCAGTCTTATTTCCAGGCACCCCAGCCAGAGGGGCAGGTAACCTGTAGGCTTGTTTGTCTTCCTCCCAGCAGGGTCTGCATTTGATCTCCTGTGGCACCAGTGCCTTTGTAATTAGTTGTGGTACTGGACCTTTAGGATATATAGTCCTTCTGCCTCTTGTGTAAATGTTTTGGCCTTTTTTTTTCTTTTTTTCTAACTCTTCTTGAATCCAGCTTTTTTGCTTTTCTGCTTTTTACAAATATGAATTATCACATTAGTGTCTTAAAACTTTATCAACCTCTTGTTTTGCTGTGATGGACCAGGAATCATTGCTTTTTCTTAGTATATAACAAGCTTCCAAAACTAATTATCCAAGTGAAAAAGATTCCATCCTAGTATGGAAGAGATCAGTTCAGAATGTCTGGGAAGGAGTATTTGTTGAATGATAGAAGAATTTGATTACACATTTGTGACATCCCCATCAAGTAGTTATATGTTTGGTTTTTCTTCTATTTTAATATATTTTTGCCTTTTACTACAGCGAACTCTGGTTGGTCTCGTAAGAGACCTGAGAGGGATAGCTTTCGCCTTCAATGCCAAGACCAGCTTCATGATGCTGTTTGAGTGGATGTATCCTAATACAGATCGGGAAGGCTTCCACTGAAAGCCTTAACTGGAGTGTGGATGGGCAGTGGAGGCATCAGGGAAGGGAGAGGGGGAGGATTAGGGAGGCAACGAAGGCAAGGACTTGTGCCCAAAGACCTGCCCTGTGTCTTGTAAGCTGCCGTTCCACAGTGGCCTAATAGCAGAGGGCTGCCTGCTCAGGTCAGAGAGACGGGGAAGTGAGTGCAGTCGTTTCCCACGTTCTCTTCTGGGTCCCAGATGCAAATGCCTGTGGAAATGCTGCACATGAAGTTTGCTACAGTCAGAAAAAAGAGACGTTTCAATCTACTAAAATAAGACAGCTTTCCTAGGAATGAGAAAGTCTAACCTTGTTGAATTCATAACCTTGAACAAATCCTTTCAAAGCTGAGTGCCTCTGTTTCTCCAATAGTTATATAACAGAAATAGCTTATTTCCTATCATGTCATAGAAGGGAAAAGAAGATAAATTAACAATGAGATACATTATTCTCTTCAGAACAAAGTCATTATGCAAATGACAGTGCATTATTATATGCTTATTACAATTCCAGGAGCGCACAGTCACCTTAGCACCTTCGGGTTAAAAGACTGCAAGATTAGCAAGCAGAAGACAGGCAGTTGGAGAACTTTCATTTGACAGTTTGTGCTTGGCCAATGCAGAGAGATTACTTTCAATTCTGTACCTTTCTGGATTTAGAATTCTTCCTTAGCTTTTCATGTACAGATATCCATCCTACATGCCAATTCTCCAGCGGGCAATTGAGCTCTGGTACCATGATCCAGCTTGTACCACTCCTGTGCTCAAGCTGATGGCTGAGTTAGTTCATAACAGGTAAGCTGGACGAAGATTTTCAAAGGACACAACTGCCCTTTTATATGAGAGAATTCTGGGATGATAGATTTTAGCTCGTGTTTGGTCAGATTGTGGAAGATAATAACATTTCACTGCTTTCAGAATTTGAAAAACGTCTCTAAAAGTTTATGTGTATATATATGTTTTGGTTTGTTTGGAAGAAGGGTGTCCCAGCCACACAAAGTCATAGCTGCTTGCAGGAAATAAGTCACTTTGGAAAGAGTCTCAAGATAACCCATTCTTGGGCGCCTGGGTGGCTCAGTTGGTTAAGCAACTTGCCTGCGGCTCAGGTCATGATCCTGGAGTCCCGGGATCGAGTCCCGCATCAGGCTCCCTGCTCGGCGGGGAGTCTGCTTCTCCCTCTGACCCTCCTCCCTCTCATGCTCTCTGTCTCTCATTCTCTCGGTCTCAAATAAATAAATAAAATCTTTAAAAAAAAAAAAAAGATAACCCATTCTTGGGACGTCTGGGTGGCTCACTCGGTTAAGTATCTGCCTTTCGCTCCTCAGGTCATGGTCCCAGGGTCCTGGGATCAAGTCCTGCATCGCGCTCCTTGCTCAGCGGGGGAGCCTGCTTCCCCCTCTGCCTGTAGCTCCCCCTGCTTGTGCTCTCTCTCCCCCCCGCCCTCTCTGTGACGAATAAATAAAATCTTTAAAAAAAAAAGATAACCGATTCTTACGAGAGGTGAATCTGGCAACCAGTATTCTGACTTTCCCGCCCACATATAAAAGTTAACATTTAGTAATGGTGTCATGTCCACCACATTTCAAAGTTCACATTTCAGAGAGGCAATTGAGAGTAATGCCAGACGCATTAGAATACCCTGTTTTAAGAAAGGTGTCTGTTCGGCAAATTGCAGCTGGATGGGTAAAGACTTACTTAAGAAGAAAGTAAGACAGACTTCCAAAATACTAAATTTTAAATTTACCCAAGAATTCAGGGATGGAGGAAAAGAAAAATCCACCCCCTTGACTTCACTAAAATTTCGGGTCCGTGTATCTGCCTCTCATGGCACTCCTAAGAGAATTAATTTTTAAAACTACTTTAGTGAGGGGGTAGGTAATACTCAAAGAGCCGATAGCCTCCCGGGAGCCTCACAGTCAAGAGTTACTCATTTCCAGAATAGGTATTTGAGAGCATCTACTCTTTGCCAGCCACTTTCCTAGCCATTGTGCCAGACAAAACCTCTCCCCTCTTAGATGTTACATTCTGGGAGAACAAACAGTAAAACAAGCATGGAAAATGATTTCAAACAGTAGTAAGTGCTGTGAAGAAAAAAGTTAATAAAACAGGGGAATTGAAGGAGAGGAGGGAGAATCGACCTCTCAGAGAAGGTGATATTTAAGCTGGGATCTGAATGACAAGAGAGATTCTGGTAGCCCTGCGAAAATAAGGGGAAAGAGTGTTCTAAACTGTGAAAACTGCAAAAGTCCTAAGATGGGATGAGTCCTAAGACTGGAGACAGAAAAACGCCACAGGCTGGAGCTTGGTGAATGAGGGAGGCCGTGGGAGGGGAAGGCTCAGACAGGCAGGCCGAGGCCCAGCCCTGTAGTGACTTAGTCCAGCAGGAGTGAGGAAGGCACGCACACTCTCATGCCAGTGGGAAGCTGCTGAAGTATTTGAAGCACGGGATTAAAATGACCTTGTTGACATTATTACCATGTGAAGAAGGGGACTGTAGAGGGGCAAGAGTGGAAGCAGAAGAACATACAGGAAGTGGATAGATTCAGGGCATGTTGTAGAGCTAGACCTTGATGGATCCAATGTGGGGAGGAAAGGAAAGAAGAATCAAGAAGGACCCCTGGGGGGTTGAGGCTTTAACCAACCAGAGTCAATAAAAAGACCAACTAGCAGCTCATTAAAAGGTGGCGCAAACCAAAGAGGTGCTCTGGTCCAGGGAACAGTCAGGAACTCAGAACTCAAGTTGTTTCAAACGCTTGCCTCACCTACTTTTCTCTAGTAGCAGTCCCAGTCCCTTCACCTCTTTTCTTCTTACCAAGTGGTAACAACGTTTGTACCCTCCCTTAGTTGCCACCGAAGCTATAAAGGTAAACATAGCTTAATGTCTGAAGGATCGTGATTTAGTCCTTCTAAGAAATGACTCACAGAAGCCATACTTTAATCAAAATGGAGAATTTTAAGAAAGTAGTTTCATCTGCTGCCTCACTTTTCAGTGTTTCCAATTTGAGAAGCAGAACTTGAATCTAGCATGTCAGTCTTCAAGATAGAAGCTCTGTCACTAGTTAAATATCTTTAACTTGGGTACTCTACATTAGGATAGGTAATCTGCACATCTTAGTGCAAAAAGAATCACCCAGGGTACTCAGATGAGAGCCTGAAGTTCCCCAGTCTTCCAGTAGCATACCTCTGACTTTCTCTGCCTCTGTGTTCTCTGCTCAGATCCCAGCGACTCCAATTTGATGTCTCTTCCCCCAATGGCATCTTACTCTTCAGAGAAACCAGCAAGATGATAACAATGTATGGTATGTGCTTTAGAGGAGCAGAACCTTGGGGGTGATTTCCAACTCAGTCACCACACTGTATGCAGTGTAGACTAGCCCTGGCAAGAGCCAGGACAGTATGACAGGGCCCCTGGCACCAAGGGCCTTTCGAATAGGAGGGTTGAGTTGGTGACCTAAACTATCAGTAATAATGTGGTTGAATAAATATATATATCACGTCTGTCTACTCAGGCAATCGCATCCTGACACTAGGAGAGGTCCCAAAGGATCAGGTCTATGCACTGAAGCTCAAGGGCATCTCCATCTGCTTCTCCATGCTGAAGGCAGCCCTCAGTGGGAGCTACGTCAATTTTGGAGTCTTCCGTCTCTATGGAGATGATGCCCTGGACAATGCTCTACAGACCTTTATCAAGCTGCTCCTCTCTATTCCCCACAGTGACCTCCTGGTAAGCGTTAAGCTTTATTGACAGGATCCGAGCCCCTCATCATATTCAGGTGTTTTTGGTTGTTTTGGGGTTTGGGTTTTTTTGTTATTTTGCCTGACACTATGATTGAATGTTTCTCTGGAGAACTATAAGCTAACTCCAGCTAGCTCTTTTGTCTTCCCATCCGAAGGGAACTGAGCTGTTTCATTTAAGATCTTACTCCCTGTTGGGGTGCCTGGGTGGTGCAGTCAGTTGAGCGTCCAACCACTGGTTTCAGCTCAGGCCCTGATCTCAGGGTCATGAGATTGAGCCCCACGTTGGGCTCTGTGCTCAGCGGGGAGTCTGCTTGAGATTCTATCTCCCTCTCCCTCGGTCCCTCCCGCTTATGCTCTCTCTCTCAAATAAATAAATCTTAAAAAAAAAAAAAAGGTCTTGCTTCCTGCATATTGAAGTACACCATGCCTAAGTTGATTTCTGTCCTCTTCTCCCACAGGACTACCCCAAGCTCAGCCAGTCTTACTATTCACTACTGGAAGTCCTGACCCAGGACCACATGAACTTTATTGCAAGTCTGGAACCTCATGTCATCATGTATATTCTCTCTTCCATTTCTGAAGGACTTACTGCACTTGGTGAGCACATGGATTGTTTGGTTTTTACCACTTAACAGAAAGGGAGAACTTTGCCCCAGTATCTGAAAGTGTTACTGCTTTGGGGTATATGTATGACTCATGGATACATTCTCATCCAGAAATACTTATCGACCCTATCCTGAGGACCAAGCACTGTGCTAGGCACTAGGGGTACAGTAAGTATTAATAACCACAGTCCCTGTCCTTTAGGAGCTTTTTATCTGGTAGATGAAACAGACATGTAGACCAGTGCCTATTTACTGCACTTACGTACTTCCGCACCACAGTGGGGGTGAGGAGGGAGTGCTGTGAGAGCTGTCAGGAAGAATACCTAAACTTCTGGTGTTGAGAAGTGGGGTCAGACAAGGCTGGCCAAAAGCACTGATAAAAAACCATGGGCCAAAAAGCTGCACAGGCGTTAGCAGGTTAGTGGGGAGGCTTCCTAGCAGCAGGAACAGCAAGTACCAGCAGCTGCAGGCAAGAGAGAGTCAGGAAATCCAGATGCCCAGCACACTGGTGCAGAGAAGCCAGAGAGGAGTGGGCGGGGCAAAGCCGGAGACCACGCAGGGGCCCTCATGCGCATCAGGGTGTTGGATTCTTTTTTTTTTTTTTTAAAGATTTTATTTATTTGAGAGATAGAGAATGAGAGAGCACATGAGAGGGGGGAAGGTCAGAGGGAGAAGCAGACTCCCCGCTGAGCAGGGAGCCCGATGCGGGACTCAATCCCGGGACTCCAGGATCATGACCTGATCCATAGGCAGTCGCTTAACCAACTGAGCCACCCAGGCTCCCAGGGTATTGGATTCTAACCTGAGGACAGTGGAGGCTATGGAAGGCACTCACACAGACAGCTCCACAGGTTTTTCATCCTACTCCACCTGGTTCCTTTTCAGCCCTTTTGTTCCTAGGCTACCATCAAGCAGTCTCAGTAGGTATGCATGTATTCAGAGAAAGAATACATTTTTTTATATTAGGCTGAGCAAAACAAATAGGAAGATTAAGTCACCTGTAAGGTAATCACGATATATTTCAAGTGCACATAGAATGACTTTTGGATTGCCTGCTGTGGTGAGTTACACCTCCATGCCCCTTCTTCCATAGGCATTTACTTCCAGCATGTGCAGAGCCATACCTAGGACATCCAGCCAAGGGCTCCGACCCTGCTCTGGAAGGCTATTTTATAGCTTCTTGAAAATCGAGGGACCTCTGCATAAACAGAAACAGAAGGGTTGACTCTTTTAAGGGTTCATCCCTTAGTCCTCTGGCCTGTGCCTCACCTCGTCAGAGCCCTGTCCACAAGCCGTGCCGCAGCGTCCCCTTTGTAAAATGCGTAGATGAGTCGCAGCTTCTCCCCCACCCTTGCCCACCACACTCCCCGCAAAATGCTTCATAAAGAATACGGTACCTCTAACAGACTCTAAATGTTGATAGACTGTATGAAGCTGGGTTTAATGACCTCCCCCCAGTAACTCAGACTTCTTGGATTCTCATCACAGCTTGTCCAGTTATTAGCAGTGTGATCTGGAGGCGAGTCACATAACCTCTTCAGACTTTGGTTTGTTAAAATGGAACAACTACCTCCCGGAATTCTCAAGAGGGTAAATTAGAGATAATACCTATAAAGTCTTTAGCAGAATATCTGGCACAGCAGAAGTACTTGCTGTATGTAAAGTATTCGTTATTTTTTATGAAGCAGAAGACATGCATCTGCACCACATTAAGCAGTAATATCGATATTATTAATTAATATATTGTCTATTACCACACACTCACTTTCAGACTTAGAATTGGGCCTTGCTATATGATGAGGGTGAGAGGTCAACAGAAAGTACCCAAACACAGGCCTTAACTGAGCTGGGGACAGTTCCCAGTCTGCTGGGGTACCTCTACCTCTACCTCTACAGGCTCTCAGCTAAGGGCAACCCCTTGGCTGCCCACGTCACCATCAGCAGCTCCATACCCCGGCTCTAATCCACCCCTCCCTCTTTCTCCCAGACACCATGGTATGCACAGGCTGCTGCTCTTGCCTGGACCACATCGTGACATACCTCTTTAAGCAGCTGTCACGGAGCACCAAGAAGAGGACGACACCCCTGAACCAGGAGAGCGACCGCTTTCTGCATATCATGCAGCAGCATCCAGAGATGATCCAGCAGGTAAGGAACGTGAGCTTTAGGAGGCAGTGTGGGGTGTCCGGCAGTGGAAGAACCTCTCAGAGAGGAGAGGCCAAGCAAAATGGGGAGGCTGGCATCTCACCAGCCTCATGCTGCCGAAGTGAAGTGTATGCCTTAAAATTGCAGTGGATTTTGAGTTTGCTGAGTAATCATCAGATATTAAAAAAATCTGGGAAGAAAAACAGGTTCTGAATCGTTTTTCCGAGCGTCACACCAGCCCCTATGCCTCGGACCTGGGCTCCTTCCACGATGACGACTGTGGCCACCCGTTGCCGTAAACGGAGCCTGAGTTAGCAGTTGCCAGCTGTAAGGCTTGTACTCCCATCTGCAGAGTGGCCACAAGAGTACGGGATAAAAGGAAATAACTGACCACACAGATCAAACCATATGTTTGCCATTGCTTTATTTGTATGAGGCATCTTTCCAGAAGGAAGATTTGCCTTGGGTAGCTACACACTAGATCACTGCCTCAGATGCTCCATTTCCAGATGCTGTCAACGGTGCTGAACATCATCATCTTTGAAGACTGTAGGAACCAGTGGTCAATGTCCCGGCCCCTACTTGGCTTGATACTACTTAATGAAAAGGTAAGAGAGCCATCTCCCTGGTGCTCAGAGGCAGAAGCATGGGTAGACACACGTTTGGCTCTCATTTTCCAGGGCACTGTGAGAAAGGCTATAGGAACACCCCACGATGGTGAAGCCGAGGGAAAACAGCTCATTTTCTGAGCATGTACTGTTCATGCTTTGAACAGTACATAATCACTGAACTGTTAGAAGTCAGCATGTGTGGCAATTCAGACAAAGGATGAGGAAGTGTTACTAGAAGAGAATATACCTGGAGAGCAGACCACCAATGACCTAAATTCTAGTTCCAGCTCCACCATAAACAAACATAAGGAAGTCTAGAGAGTCCTGTAAAAGAACCTGGATCAGGGGCACCTGGCTGGCTCAGCTGGTAGAGCAAGTGACTCTTGATCTCGGGGTTGTGGGTTCAAGCCCCACACTGGGTATAGAGATTACTTAAAAATAAAATCCTTTAAAAAAAAAAATAGAACCTGGATCAGATGACCCTTAGAGTGTTTACAAATTTAAAACTCTTTGACTTTTAAGTAAGATAAAGATACATTATCTTGCAGCAAATACTTACTTAAATCAAAAAAGGTACCCCATTTTGGTAGATAATTCTGTGTTTTGGAGAACATCCCTTCAACCTTGCAGATGAGGGAGGGCTAATCCCTATCTCCTCTCCTTACCCTGTCTCACTCCTTGCCCCACAGTATTTTTCTGACCTAAGGAACAGTATCGTGAACAGCCAGCCACCAGAGAAGCAGCAGGCTATGCATCTGTGTTTCGAAAACCTGATGGAAGGCATCGAGCGAAATCTTCTTACGAAAAACAGAGACAGGTGAGTGTAGGGGGCCCTGCAGAGAAGTCCTAGGCAATTTCTCAAGTCATCGAAACAGGGGAGACTCCTTAAGAGTCTTTTTTTTTTTTTTTTAATTTTATGTATTTATTTGACAGCGAGAGAGGGAACACAAGCAGGGGGAGTGGGAGACGTTGAGAAGCAGGCCTCCCGCTGAGCAGGGAGCCCGATGCGGGGCTCGATCCCAGGACCCTGGGATCATGACCTGAGCCAAAGGCAGACGCTTAACGACTGAACCACCCAGGCACCCCTCCTTAAGAGTCTTTTAGAGAGGGGCGCCTGGGTGGCTCAGTCGTTAAGCGTCTGCCTTTGGCTCAGGTCATGATCCCAGGGTCCTGGGATCGAGCCCCGCATCGGGCTCCCTGCTCAGCGAGGCCTGCTTCTCCCTCTCCCACTCCCCCTGCTTGTGTTCCCTCTCTCGCTGTGTCTCTGTCAAATAAATACATAAAATCTTGAAAAAAAAAAAAAAAGAGTCTTTTAGAGACCACCTTAAAGCAGTGCTGTCCAGTAGAAAAGCAGGCCACATACGTAACTTTGAACTTTTTAGTAGCCACATTAAAAAAAGGTAAAAAGAAACAGACAAAATTCCTTTTAATACATTGTATTTAACATATGCAGATTATCATGTCAATGTGTAATCCATATTTAAAAACTGAGAATTTTAACATTCTTTTTATTGTACTAAGTCTTCAAGGTCCTGTGTATTGTACACTTAGCAGGGCATCTCAAGTCAGATGCTAAATATTCATTTGAATTACTTGATTTGTATTAAGATTTCATAAAATTTACAGTTGACAAAGTAGATTCCCATATTCAGGTATACCAGACATACTTAGAAGTTGTCTAGTTGTCAATTGAATATCAGGCTTTTCTGAATTAATGCTTAAATTTTATTTTTTTTAATTAATTTGAAAAATGGTATTTTAGTTTAAAATTAATTAAGGTACAATCGGGGAACTGAATTTTAACTTTCATCTGATTTGCTTCAGTTCTTCAGTTGAACTGGGCACACTTCAAGTGCTCAGGAGCCCTGTGTGGCGAGTGGCTGCCATACTGGACAGCAGCACAGTGCTTTAGCACAAGTGTCCGGCATTAAGCACTGAGTGAGACAGCCTCGTTCTCTTCAGGCCCTCACTTTGGGAGGGTTACTTCCCACCTCTGTCAGATCCCTTTTGTGCTGCCGTGAGCCCAAGGTGGCCCTCAAAGCCCCAGATTTGACCAGATCTCAAGATCTGCCGCAAGGTTGTCAGGTTGAAAGGGTTGCAAAACTAGCCCAGCTTTCCCTTAAGGTCTGAAGACTGAGGTTAACTGACCTTAGAAACAGATGCATACGTTCTGCCTCTCAGTAGCCGCTTCGCTGCCAGAAATGTCTTAGTCCAAGACCTTTCCCCTCCACCCTCCTCCCCCAACCTACATGCATCCCCTCTGCAGGTTCACCCAGAACCTGTCGGCATTTCGTCGAGAAGTCAACGACTCGATGAAGAATTCCACTTATGGCGTGAATAGCAATGATATGATGAGCTGACACCTCCTTGGACTCTACCTGTACAGAGCAGCGCCCTTTGGTCTGGCCCAGAGGGGCAAACAATTACAAGGGAGAGGGCCTGGCTGACCCTGGCTCCCTCCTCCAGGGGTGTGGGGAAAATGGCAGAGTCACCTGGCTACTTCCCCAGGGAATAGGGGTGTGAGTGCACTCACTAGGGGGCAGGGCGCTGCTGGTTCCTGGGGGTTGGGTGGGAAGGGTGGTGGGAGGAGATAGAGACACAAATGTGTGAGACTCCAGCCCCTCCTCCTGGGGCCACCCCAGGGGGCGGGGGGGAACCCCCAGTGTCCTGCCACAACCTGCCTTGTATAAACATGTACATTTTTTCATAACATTTTGAACAAGGTTTATATTGACTCAAGTTTAAAAACAAAAAGTGTGACTGAAAAATTTTTACAGAGTCTAGTGCACCAATGCTGATGTGAGGGGTTGTGTATGCGAGTGAGGAAAAAATGTGTATTCTGGTGGCCTGAAGCTTTACTGGACGAGGATGTGTGAACGTGCAGAGATATATTTAGTGACACAGTGTAGAGAGGCAAAAAAAAAAAGTAAAAATTCCAAATGTATATTTTTTCTTATTGCCCTTTCCTTGCCCCCAAAATTATCACTTCCTGTTACTGTATTACCCTTGTTATTAGGAACTCTAAGCCATGTGGAGCACCATCCTTCCCCTTCAACCATAGATGCTGCCCTAGGTCCCTCGGCCTCTTGCAGTGACAGACAACTCCAGCTAAAAGTGTTTGGTGTTCTAGCTTCATCCCTTTTCCCCACTTTGCTTATCCTCATCCTCAGACAGATGCCTCTTGCTTTTACAAGTCAGATGTAATTCTATGATTTAGGGTTCTCGGTCTCTGTAAAGGTAGAGACCAGAGAGAAGGAATTGAGCCAGCTGCTCTCCTGGTGAGCGATTTGGATGAGTCCACCAGAGGCCCAGTTGCGTGGCCGATAACTTTGAGTCTTCCCCAGCCCTTGAGGCAGTGTGTGTGGATGTGTGCGCGTGGATATTTATATATGTACCCTGCACTCGTGAATGTATGAACTGGAGGAAGTTACTACAGTGGAGGGGTTCTTAATAACAAGGTCTGCCTAGCATGAAGTATTTAACAATCTCCCACCCCTTTAAAAATATACATTTTTATAAAATGAAAACCATAATAAATGTTTTGAATATTAAAAAAAATTAACCTACAGAAGAAAATTAATGGAGAAAGCTATTTGCCTTGTACTTTTTCCACAATTGCTGCCGCTAGTTGTACGCATCTCTAGTTCAGCTCTTGCCCATGGGACACTCACCATCAATTAGGTTTTATCTTTATTTCTCTCCTCTGCCCCCAAAAACAAGCCTGTTAATTTTTTTTTTTTTCCTTCTCCTCTGGCGACTGTGTGGTGAATCCTTTCTTGCGTGATCAGGTTGCGGATAGACTTGTAAGGGTGTTTGCTGCATACAGTGTAAGCATTGTGACCGCCAATAAACTTCAATGGTTTCTACTGACCTGGCTTCAGCAATCAAGTCTAGTGTGTCTATAGGGACATGTCTCACTCTAAACACACAAAGATGTTTGAAACATGCATTCGTAAAAGCCAGTGGATGACAGGTGCCTCTCGCCCTTGTAAAATTAGCTTCTCATTCAACTAAGTCTGACTCGATTTCTTTTACAAATATGATTGTTTTAGTTGAGACAGATCTATACAGATAGATATACAGTGCTGCTGGCCACAGGTAGAAAGGTGAAGCCACGCTGCCTCTTCTAGGTAATAACATGGCAACCAGCAGAGAAGTAATAATTGCAGAAAGCCCAGTTTTGTTAATGTTCCTTTTTTTTTTTTAAGATTTATTTATTTAAGAGAGAGCACACAGGTGAGCAGGGGGAGGGGCCAGAGGGGGGAGACAAGCAGACTCCCCACTGAGCGGGCATTGTGACGTGGGGCTCCATCCCAGGACCCTGAGATCATGAACTGAGCCAAAATCGAGTCTGACGCTCAAATGACTGAGCCACCCCAGCGCCCCTTTGTTAATTTTCTGACCTCTGCCCTCTTACGAGGGCTGGGCTTCACTCGTGAGACCCTGACAAGCTCAAGGATAAGTTCTCTCCCTGTACCACTTTGCAGGCCTCATGGGCCAGAATTCTCAAATGAAGAACACTATAGTTAATGAGGACTATTTGTCATCCCCATACTATGTAGTACCTAGACATAAGAGAACTTAATTGCCAGGAACATTGTATCTGTGTCTGTACCTTAATGTAGATTTATATCCAGTGAATCACAGGCTCTAGAGTGCTACTTAAAAAAAAAAAAAAGATTTATTTATTCACCTTAGAGTGTGCACAAGTGGGGGAAGGGGCAGAGGGAGAGAAACTTCCAGCAGACTCCCTGCTGAACTCGCATGAGATCACAACCTGAGCCAAAACCAGGAGTCAGCACTCAACGGACTGAGCTACCGAGGAGCCCCTAGATGCCTCTCTTGCCCACCTTATCTAGATATCCTGATACCTTTTCTTTGCTGTTTCGGTGTCCTGGGGACTGTCTTGATCCTAAGTTATTTTGAAGGCAAAAATTTGTATTCTCAGGGCTAGAAGGCAAGTAGAGTTGATTCATCTTAGCCAAGTCTGTCTTTAAGCCTAAGAGAAATATAAAATGGTCAGGCTTCATTAATAGGCAAAGCACTCCAGTCACATGCCCCAGTGACCTGGAATTCTAATTCTATAGTAAATAAGATAAAATTGTAAACAACTTTCTCACGGGTACTTGAAGAAGAACCCCTCTCCCCCCAACTATCTTGAGATGCTGCTTGATCAGCAAAACCCCAGGCCCCTCCTTTCCCTTTACACAAAAAAACAATTTCAGAGGCAAGAGACTCACCATAGATGGTGGCCTCCTCGTTGCAACCCTAAGTGCAGTCCAGTCATGACAAACCGCCATAGTTAAAATCTTCCACAACCACATCAAACTTTTTAAACAGTGAAGGTGTTCCTTTCTTGGCAGTTAAAAGAAGGGGCACCCAAAAAACAGCCAAGTAGGAAAATTTTTTCTGGTCAAATTATCAGCAATGTAACATGATCCATCCTTTAAAAAACCAGTTATCTTGAAACATTGGTTTCTGCCAAGAAGTCATGTGGAGGTTTTATTCAGTTAAAACATGAGTTTATTAGTTTCTAGGCTATCCTGGGCACTATGGTTATCAAGTCAAGTGTCTTTACACAGTGTTTCCTGACACAGACTGTACCTTATGTTGACAAAACACCTGAAGTCTTTGTGGCAGATTACTAAATTGTATTATGGATGTACGTGTTTTTTTGTTGACTCTGCCCAAATAAGGGTTATTTATTCCCAGTAAAGTATAAATCAGAGGAAGAAGGATTTGGCCAAGGGTCAAATTTTTACATTTTTAGATTTTAAGAAGTAATGACTTTCACCCAATTGTTAATTTTCTAATGACAAGTGACAACCTACTAAGAAATAAGAGTTTTATATTCTGCAAACATGAACTTTTCTTAAGAACTTGTGTTTTTTTTTCCCACCCAAGTGGAAAAATGTTCTAGCACCTTATGAAATTTCAACCACGTGCAGACACAGACCACCTTCCAAAAATATTCACGGTCATGAGGTAAGAGGAACTGAGTGTAGAGAGCCAAAGCACCTCTCTGTATCCTATTTGCCACCAGCCAGCCCTCCCCCCACCCAAGATTTTTGGCTAGATCTACAAACACACCTAAGTTGTTTTCTAATGCTGCGCCAAAGTGCCAAAGCAAAAAAGGAAAGCAAAGATAATTACAGGGAACCTGCAAAAGCCATAAGTCTGATAATAAGGCCTTGAAAAATGTAAATGGTTGTGACTTTTAAAGTCCTACTTTAGATATTTCAAAAAAAAAACTGAAAGGATAAAAATGTACATACCAACCATAATTAATAGAACTGCCAATTAAGTGCTAGGTAATGTCTTAGGTCTTAGAATTCTTGCCTCTTGTACTTTTCTCCCGGGTCCATTACATCTATTTTGCATTTTTTAGATCCCCTGGAATTCACTGGTCAGCCACTTTGGTGTATTTCAGGAGCAGTGGGTCAACTAAACAAATCAGCTGCCAGACAATGGGACATCATAAGAGTAGAATGGAGGATGGGATCAAGCTTAGACTATTATCCCCCTTCCCCAGAAAACCCTTATGGTCTTCAGGGCAGTCTGACTGCTGCTGTCTGTTCATTGATCAAATACTTAGTATCCACTTCAGGACAAATACCTTTTTGATGGTCAGCAACAGAAAAGGAAACTCAAAAGCAAAAAACATTGGCAAGGCAAATTCATTTCCACTCTTTGGCATAAAATCCCTCAACAGTACAAACTGACTCCAAAACATAGTGAACAGTACTTAAAACACTTACACAAGCACCATACAATTATATTTTTAACTGATAATCATGAAGACAGACTTCATAATAGATTTAAGCATACAGCATCACCTAATGGGCCAAACCACCCCATTATCAGTTACAAAAGACTGAAGAGTGACCAGTGGGGAATCTCCTAACCCTTGCTACTGGGTAACAAATTAAGTCCAGGCATGTCTGAATTCAAGGTTTGAAGGACAACCAAACTCAGGGAAAAAAACTGACTCCTTATCTGAAGCTCAGAGGGGCCACTATACAGAGTCTGATATTGTAAAAGGGTGGGCGAATTTAAGAGTAGTATTCTCAAAGCCAGAAAACCCAAGCTCTCCTCAGCTCTTAAAGACTGATTATACTGTGCAATGAAGGTAAAGCAAACTCTAGAAGCTGAACTAACTCAACTGGAAAATCAATGAAAATGAAACCATTTTTAAGAGTATAGCAGACCATTATCGTTTTTATTTATCAGAAAGCCCATGCCCCACCCTTTAACACCTGGCAGTCTGGGATAGGTGCCACAAAGCAAATCAAGTTACCAACTTCGCCAACCAGACTACAAACGTGCAGCAGAGCCCTTCCATTCAACTACACATCTGCCACTGCCATCTCTGCCTCCACATCCTACCTCGTCTTTCCCCCGTCTGCACAACCATCTCTTCTCAGTCTAAATTTCCATGCCCTTTGCCCATCTACCCTTTTAAAGACCCAAAGTAGAACCCCATTCCCTCTCTGAAGTCGCTCCCTATTGTCCCTGTCCCAAGTCTTACAGCCTACTCGGGTTTATTTGAGATATTCCTAATCCTCACTCTCCCCGCCTCAACAACCAAAATGTGCTCCTTACGAGCGGGGACCAGATGGTAAGGGGACCGTGAAGAGAAAGTAGCTGGACTAATTTGGGTGAAGGCCCAGCAGACAGGGCCCCCGGCTGCCTGGTGTGGGCGAGCTAAACGCAAACGTTGCCACAAGCCTCTACTGAAAGGAAAAGAGCAGAAGCTGCTGACAGCTCCCTGATCTCGCGAAGGAAAACGGTAGAGTTCACTCCCGACCCCCCACTTCTGCCGCCAACAAACCGCCACGCCCCGGAAAAGGTTCCGCGCGTTCCTTCCGTCCCCGTCGCGTCTGCGCACGTAGGTCCTCTCTGCCGGCGCGTCTCCTCGGCGCCACCGTTCGCTCCGCCTCCGCTGCCCTGCGCAAGCGCAGTCGTGACTCCTGACTGCGTTCTCGAGCCCTGGGCGCCGGGGCTGGAGGGATCGTTCTTGGGGAAGGTGGAGTTGGGCTACGGCGGCCCCTGGACCCCCACCCAGCCGTGTGCCCGGTAGGGGTTCGAGTTCACGCGTGCCATGGCCTCACACCCAGTGTCCGCGGTAGTAATCATAGAGGCACTGTTCAAGGACTTGGTCCCTGGCTGGGAAGGACTCTGGAGTGGGCAAACGGGCTGAAAAGGATGATCGTTGGCGGCTCAGTATACCCTGGGAGTGCGAAAGAGGGCCTCCTCCGTCCTCCACGTCGAGCCCTAGCAGAACGAGTCATTAGGAAGAAGGCAGGAAGAACACTCACAGTGCAAAAACACCGAAGCATGAAACCTTGTACCTTTCTAGAAGTTGCAAAAATAGCACGGCTGGAGGGAAAAGTGTAGCTAGCTCTATACGTGTCTGGTTGAGGGGTGGGGCACCAGAGGTTGGGATTTGATCCGAAAAGCCTCAAGTTTCCAGAGGCTACATTACAAAGCAGGCTAATGACCAGTCTTTGTTGGATCTACCAGCTGGTGGGTAATGAGGATTTGAACCAAGACCCAAGACAAGGACTGTTGGGTGAGAGTTGAGAAAGACTAGAGAGATAGGGGGTGGAGGTTGGAATCAACAGACTTTGGATGTGAAGAGTAAAGGATAGAGGATTCTGGTAGGATTCCCAGGTTCTAGAATGGAGCAGCAGCTGAGTCAAGGCAGAGGAAGCATGAAACAGTATGGGGATGAGTGCAGAGCTCTTGGTGAACCTGAATGGAATTCTGATCTAAGGAGACTTCCCTGCTCTTGGACAAAACATCAGAAAACAAGGGGGAACACTTCCCAGTCATTTTATAGAACAAACATCTCCCTGAAACCAAAACCAAAGACATTAAAAGGAAAAAAAAAAAAAAAACCTTTAGACTAATAGGCCTCATAAACGCAAAAAGTCTTAAAAGATAAGCAAATTAAATCCAGGAATATATGAAAAGGATAATACATCATGACCAAATGGGATTGATCCTAAGAATGCAAGGTTGGTTTAAAACATTCAGAAAACCAGTAAATGTAATTAGCTGTATAAACGAAAGAGAAAAAGCTGATCATCTCGGTAGATAAAGAAAAAGCACGTGACAAGATTCAATACACATGAAAATTCTCAGCAAATTAGGAATAGAAGGAAACATTCTTTACCAATTAAAAGCCATCTACGAAAAGCCTACCACCAACAGAATGTAATAATGAAAGACTGAACGGTTCCCCTAAAAATCAAGAACAAAGAAAGAGTACCTCCTTTACCACCTCAATTTAACATTGTACTTGAGGTCCTAATCAGAGCACATAGGCACTTAATTAATTAACTAATTAATGGTTCACAGATCAGAAAGAAGTGAAACTATTCACAGATGTCACGATTTGGGGCTCAGAAAGCTACTGGAACTAATAAGCGAATTTAGCAAAATCACAGAATACAAGGTCAGTATAAAAAACCAACTGTATTTCTATATACTAAAAATAAGCTATTAGAAGATGAAATTTCAAAATATATACTATTTGTTCTAGCATCCAAAAAACATGAAATACATAGGAATAAATTTAACAAGCTATGTGCCAAACTTGTACACTAAAATCTATAAAACATTGCAGAGCACAATCTTTAAACAACTGGAAAGATCATAACATGTTCATAGTTTGGATGACTCAAAATTGTGATGTCATTTTCTCCCTAAATTGAACTATGCATTCAACAAATTCCCAATAAAAATCCCAGAAAGTTTTTTTGTAGAAACTGGCAAGCTGATTCTAAAATTCATTTGAAAATGCAAAAAAAAATCTAGAATAGCCAAAACATTTTTGAAATAGAAGAACGGAGTTGGAGAGCTCCCCTACCTGATTTCAAGATATACCATAACGCTACAGTAATCAGTACTGAAGTGTTGGCACTAGGGCAGACAGATCGATGGGACAGAAAAAAACTCCAGAAATAGACCAATATGTACATGCTTAATTCATTCTCAACAAGAGTGCCAAGGTATTTCAATAGACAAAGGGTAGTCTTTTACAAAAATGGTGCTGGAGTAACTGGGGATCCACTTGAAAGAAAAAAAGAAATGAACCTCGACCCTTACCTAACACCACACACAGAAATTAACTTCAAATGGATCACAGATGTAAAAGTTCAAACTACAAGATTTCTAGAAGAAAATTTAGGAGAAAACTTTCATGACCTTGGGTTAAGCAAAGATTTCTTCGAATACCAAAGCCATGCGCCATAAAAGGAAAATTTATTGGACTTCATCAAATTTTAAAATGTCTGCTCTTCAAAAGATGCCATTTTAAGAAATGAAAAGACAAGCCATAGGCAGGAATAAAAAAAACCTTTGTAATGCATATACATGACCCAACACAGGTATCCAAAGTGTATAAAGAACCCCTACAATTCAGTAACAATAACCTAAAATAGACCAATTTTTAAATGGACAAAATATTTAAACAGGTATTTTGCAAAAGGAGATACACAAGTGACCAGTAAACACTTGAAAAGATGCTCAACATCACTTGTCATCAAACAAATACAAATAAACAGACGTCACTATATACATCCGCTAGAATGGCTAAAATTAAGAAGACTGACAATGCCAAGTGTTGATGATGAATGGCCCCTGGAATTTTCATACATTGCTGGTAGAAATGCAAAATGGTACAGGAATTCGGAAAATAGTTTTACAGTTTCATATGAAGTTTAATATATGCTTACAAAATGATCCAGCAATTCCACTCCTCGGTATTTACCAAGGAAGAACTAAAACATATATCCATGCGAACAAAGACTTGCTCTCTAATGTTAATGGCATTTTTATTCATAATATATGTCTAAAACTAAAAACTACCCAAATATCCATCAAAGGGTGTATGAGTCAGAGACGTATCACAAGGAATTGGCTCATGCGGTTTTGGGGGCTAGCTACAGGTCTGAAACCTGCAGCACAGGTCATCAGGTAAAGCAAACTGGAAGGTCTCTGGCAGGAACTGAAGCTGCAGTCCACAGGCAGAACTTTTTCAGGGAAACCTCAGTTCTGCTCCTAAGGCCTTTCAGCTGATTGGATCAAGCCCACCCGTATTACTGAGAGTAATCTTTATATAAAGACAGCTGATTATTGGCGTTAATCACCTCTCCAAAGTGCCTTCACAGCCACATCTTCATTAGTGTTTCATTGAGTAAGTGGGTATGATAGTCTAGTCAAGTTGACACATAAAACTGACCAGCAGGTGACTGGGTATACAAATTGTGGAATACTACTCAACAATAAACAGAACAAACTACTGATAGAAGTAACGGTATGGATAAATAAGCCTCCAACACATTTTGTTCAACAAAAGAGGGCAGACGAAAAGACCCTGTAGGATTCTACTTATTTGAAATTCTAGAACAGTCAATAATGATCCACAGTGTCAGAATAGGTAAGTGCTTGCCTGATGCCAGTTAGACATTAGGGTGAGGATTCTGACTGCAAAGGGAAACAAGAAAACTTGGGAGAGTGATGGAAATTATAACTGGACTGTGGTGGGGGCTACCCAGCTATATACATTTGTCAAAATTCATCGAAATTATGCACTTTTTAAAAGATTTTATTTATAAGTAATCTCTACACCCAGTGTGGGGCTTGAAACTACAACCCTGAGGTCAAGAATCACTTGCTCCACTGACTGAGCCAGCCAGGCACCCCAAATTACACACTTTAAACGAGTGCATTTATGTACATAAATTATTTCTCAGTAAAGTTGATGTGTTAAAAAGGGGGGGGGGAGCTGATTCCTGCACAGCAGAAGCTCCAGTCAAGGTTCCAGAGAGATATGTCCAGTTCCTATAGCACTATTTTTGGAAAAGACTATCTTTTCCCTATTGAATTACCTTGGTACTTTTGTTGAAAAGCATTGAACCTTATATGTAGGTGAGAAGTTTCCTGGATGGGAGTGAAGGATAAAAATGCAATCAGATCAACTATACTTCATGAAAGAGAGAGAGAGAAAGAAAAAGAAAGAAAGAGAGAGAGAAAGAGGGAGAGGAGAGGAGGGGAGGGGAGAAAGGGCAGGAGAAGGAGAGGGGAGGAGGAAGGGGAGGGGAAGGAGAGGGGAAGGAAGGAGAGAAGAAGGGAGGGAGGGAAAGAAAAGAATTTGATCAGAGAGATCCCTAGTTATTTCTGACTTCAGAGATGTCACATGAGCGAGACAGAAGGGGATGTGGTCACTGGAAAGCCTCCTCCTCTTCACTACCCCTACCCCACCGAAACAAACATTTAAGAGCTGCCCTGTGCCCTATGAACGGCTGTTTGTTCAATGACTGGTCCTCATAAAGTGTGTCCCACGGTGTATTCCTCACCAGCTGCCACAGCAGCCTCTCTGGTGACCAAACTCATTCCCACCCCTTCTTGGCCATGGGAGAAATCATCCTTCTGGAAACAGGGCTCTTCTCTGGGGACCATAACCCTGGGGGACCGGCCCTCCTGGCCTTGGAAAGGGCCCGCACCTAGAGGGTAGGGAAAGGGCAGGAAGGACGGCGACGAGCAGGAAAAGCCTTAAAGCGGCTTCCCATGGGGTGGCGAGGCAAGTCTAAGCTCGGCCGTCTCACCCAGTAGGCCTTGGTGAATCCCCAGTGGTCCTGAAGGTGCTGCTCACGGCCTGGTCCCGGACCAGCGGCAAGCAATTTCACCTGGGAACCTGTTAGAAATGCAAATGACCTTGGCCCCACCCAGCCTTCCACCGCCCCGTGCCGCGGAGATGGGACCCGGCCCTGCGCTTTAACAAGCCGTCCAGGTGCGCCGAGGCAGGAAGAGGAGGAAGGAATGGCAGAGCGGAATGGGGAAAGAAGGGCCTCTCCTTTAAGACTGAGTCGACGTCCCGGTGCTGCTCCTTCGCGAGCCCCCTAACAGGCTGCAGTGGGCGGCGGCGCTCAGGTGGGGCTGGGAGGAGGCCGGAGTGCGGGAGGCGGTGGCGGGCGGGCGAGAGGGCCCGGCCCAGGGGAGGGACAGCCGGGACCACGACGGCACCGACGGGGCTCCCAGAGCACCCGAAGGGCCCGCCGGGGCGGCTCCCATCCCCTCTCCAGCCCGGGCGACCTAAGCGTCGAGCGCCCCGCTCCGCTGGCCCCGGGACTGCGCCGCTGTACCCGCCGGAGGCTTGGACTCGGGGCGGCGGGGCGGG